TTTGTGAATGTATAAGACTTGTTTCTTTTGATGTACAGATAAGTTTTTTTTTTTTGTATGTACATGGAGTGACGTGTAAATATTGTATCTTTTGATGTCACTTGTATGTTTATAAAAGTTTAAAATTATTTTGTCCCATGTATGTCTGCACAGCTCGATGGACGTTGTATTTTGTATATTTGTTTCCGTAGCCCCTTATTATATGTTATTTTGTTCAGAGGCCTTTGGTGATCTAAGGATTATTGGTCGATTACAATGATAAACCTATATGGGCGGGTTTGAGTCGTGACACCAACCATCTGACAAATGACTTGACTAACCTTCAACAATTTCAGCCTTATCAAGGTCAAGAATAGGTTCAAGTTGGTAATGGTTCCTCTTTACCAATCAGTCACATAGGTAAAGGTCTCTTGCCAATTCCACATTACTCTTTTCAGCTCTCAAATCTTCTTTATGTTCCTACCATCTCTTCAAATCTCTTATCTGTGCATCAACTTACCAAAGATCATAATTGTCTTGTTATTTTTTGTGCTAATACTTTTGTCATTCAGGACAAATGCACGAACAAGGTTCTGCATAGAGGTGTTAATGTCAATGGCCTCTACCAGTTCATTCTATCTTCTGAGCTATTCTCTCCCCAAGTTTTTCAGTTTAGCACTACTGCTCCTGTGTCTGATATGCTTTGGCATCACAGATTAGGCCATTCTTCTTCTCTAAAGCTTCATCATATGGCTGCTCTTTTACCAAATAAAATTTCATGGAATAAGGACTTGTCTTGTAATGATTGTAATGTGTCTAAAGTTCATAGGCTTCCTTTCAAATTGTCTAATACTTTTGTTAATTGTCCATTTGTCTTGGTTCATAGTGATGTGTGGGGTCCTTTCACAATGGCTAATGCCCCATTTGGTTTCTATATTTTGTTTGTGGATGATTATAGTAGATTCACTTGGGCTTATCCTTTGAATTTCAAGAGTGAGGTGTATGATAAATTACTTGTATTCAAAGCCTATATTGAAACTCAGCTTTAGACTTCTCTTAAGATCCTTAGGACTGATTGTGGTACTAAATTTGTTAATAAAAGAATTGATACTTTGTTGTCTTTTTATGGCATTGTTCATCAAAGCAGTTGTCCCCATACTCAGGCTCAAAATGGCATAACTGAACGTAAACATAGACATCTTACTGAAACTGCTATAGCCCTGCTTCATCACTCTTCTGTTCCTATTACTTTTTGGTTTGATGTTGTTGCCACAACTGGTTTCCTTATTAACAGAATGTCCTCTAGTGTTTTACATCACAAGACTCCTTTTGAAATGTTGTTCCATACCTTACCTGATTTTTCCTTTTTTAAAGTGTTTGGCTACCGATGTTTTCCTTGGTTAAAGCCTTATACTAATCACAAGCTGGAACCTAAATCCATTTTTTGTGTTTTCTTGGGCTATTATCCTACCATTAAGGGTTATAGGGGTCATGATCCTATTTCTAGAAAAGTTTACATTTCTAGGCATGTAGTCTTTAATGAATCTTGTTTTCCTTTCTCTCAATAGTCCTTAGTTCCTTCTTCTTCTCCTTCAGATTTGTCTGCTCTTACTTCCTTTTTCTGGCCTTCTTCACCCATTTCTTCATTTGTGCTTCCTCCTAGGCCTTCTTCTTCTTTTGTCCCATCCCCTTCTGTTCCATCTTCTTCTTCTCCTCATGCTCATGCTTCTCTTGTTCAGCACATTCCTATTTCTTCTATTACCATTGACTTACCTCATCATTCTCTTCCTTCTTTTGTATCTAACATACACCTTATGCTTACTAGATTCAAACACAAACTCCCCAAGCTTCTTATTGTTACTGCCTCTCTTCTTGACATTAAACCTACATCTGTTCAGGTTGCTCTGCAATCTCCTGTGTGACTTTGGGCCAAGAAGGAAGAATATCAGGCTCTTAAACAACAAGGCACTTGAGACCTTGTTGATCTTCCACCTCATCAGATTGCCATTGGTTGCAAGTGAGTTTTTCACATTAAACGAAATTCCAATGGTACTATTACTCGTTATAAGGCTAGATTGGTGGCAAAAGGGTTTTTTGCAACATGAAGGAATTGATTTTCAGGAGACTTTTAGTCCAGTGGCTAAACAACCCACCATCAGAATATTCTTGAGTATTGCTCTTCAATTTCAACGGCCTATCAAACAGTTTGATATTTCCAATGCCTTTCTTCATGGCATTCTTCAAGAAGAGGTCTATATGCTTCGGCCTGCAGGATTTGTGCAATCTCCTACTCATGTCTGCAAACTCAATAAGGCTTTATATGGTCGCAAACAAGCTCCTAGGGCTTGGTACTCTACTTTTTTAACCTTCTTGCTCTCTCAGGCCTTCACCAATAGTCTTTCTGATACTTCTCTCCTTATCAAGAACACTTCTACTAGCCTCACCATCCTCTTAGTGTATGTTGATGATATTTTACTAATTGGCAGTGATTCTACCCTAGTTGCTCAACTTCTTCAGAAGATGCACAAGGCTTTTTCCATGAAAGAGCTAGGTTCCCTTTCTTATTTTCTGGGCATTTCAGTTCTTACACATGAGCATGGTTATTTCTTATCTCAAGACAAGTATGCAACTGCATTATTGCACAAAGCAGGTTTGCAAGACTGCAAACCATGCTCTTCTCCTGTGGTTGTTAAAACAGTGCCTTCTGCATCTGATTCTCTGTCATTTTCTCAGCTTTCTCTGTATAGGAGTTTAGTAGGTGGTATGCAATATTTGACTATCACTAGACCTGATCTCTCCTTTGCTGTCAATTAGGTTTGTCAATTTAAGCATCTTCCCACTAATGCTCATTTTCAAGAAGTCAAGAGGCTTCTTAGATATGTTAAGGGAACTTTGTCTCATGGCCTCTATTTCACTCCTAGTCATTTTTCTCTATCTTCTTTTTCAAACTCCAATTGGGCCGGTGACAATCTTGATCGAAAATCTACCTCTGGTTATTGTGTTTATCTTGGATCAAACTTGATTTCCTAGTTAGCTAAAAAGCAAGCTACAGTCTTTCGGTCGTCCACTGAAGCTGAATATTGAGCCTTAGCTCATGCCACAGCTGAGCTTACTTAGCTTCAACAATTGCTCAAGGATTTCTGTATTTCTTCTCATGTTATTCCTGTTATCTGGTGTGATAGTTTGTCTGCCATGGCTTTAGCATCCAATCCTGTGTTTCATTCTCGATCCAAGCACATCGAAATCGATTGCCATTTTATTTGAGAAAAAGTGGTTCCCAAGTAGGTTGAGCTCAAATATGTTCCCACAGTTGATCAGGTGGCTGATCTCTTTACCAAACCCCTTTCTCCTTCTCGGTTTCATTATCTTCGTGCCAAGCTATTAGTGCTTCCTTGCCCTATCAGCTTGAGGTGAGATGAAGGAGTTACAGTTATCCCACCATCACCATCTCACAGCAAACCTGAGCTGCAGCCATTATCATCTCACAGCACACCTAAGCTGCAGCCTTTTGCCTGTTATAGCTTGTTCATCACAGGCTTGTAATAATAGTGTTAAGATGGCGTGCTACAATGGAATTAGTTGTGGTGGTTAGATAGTTTGTTATATAGTTGGTTAGACTAAACATGAGTTGGGCTGGTCAAAGAGAGTTAGTTAGGATTAGATATTTTGTATAGATTTGATATTTTGTTTACTGTATAAATACAAGTGTAAGCTACAGTTTTCAAGAAGATGAAGAGTTATATGATTCTCAATATATGTATTAATTGGGCGTTATTTTTTTATTAAATGTCAAGCCCTAGATCTAATAGAGGATTTTAGTGATTTTCCCTTATAAATAGATGAGGATGCCTCTTATATTGTAGAGAGAGTTATAATTGTATTTTATTCATAATAAAAACTATAGCAGCCAAGGTTGTAGCACTATTTTATAGTGAATCATGTAAATCTAATTTTCATGTCTGTTTGTGATTGTTTTAATTCATTTTAACTTTTTTATTTATTATTTTGTACCTCACCAATTATGATTAGGAATTGTCGATTTCCTAATATATCGGTCTATTTTGGATCAATTACTTACAGCTTTCTAAATGGAACGTGAATTCCAACCTACTTATGATTCAGCTTTTCTATGAAGGAAAAATGCGAAACTTAAATTTTACTTCATTTGAAGTGACCCATGACAAATAATTAGAATTAAAACTGACATTGTGATTCAAAGCCATAAAATAATTATCCTATATTGGGACAACACACAAAGATTTGTTTGGTGTAACTTTTCTTAAGTTGAAGGTTGATAATTAAAAAGTGAAAATACAAATTGCTCTCGAACTTTTAAATTATCAACTTTTTTCAAATTATTTGAGCTATTTCTATTTCATGAATTCTAAACAAAAATTACACTCAACAAATTGATACAGACACTTGAAATAATAATAAATAAATAAAACCTTAACTAGCATTATAAATTCTATTAATTGTCAAAAGTATAAGAGTAATATTAAGAATTCCAAATATTTTACCAACATTTTCAGAGCGTAAACAACAAAAGTAGCTACTTACCAAAGCTTAGTTTACAAGGTAAGTTCTCCTACCCCCATAAGCAAACAAGATCAAGGTTTGAAAGCTTTGCATATAACTAATTGCATATTGCTCATATATATATAATGCCCTGCACGCTACATCCATCAAAGTGTTGGCACGGCCTTGTATTCTTTTTAAAGTGATATTCACATTTATCAACACTCTCATTAGAAGAATATACGTCTTACCCAACCTTATTTCCTTGTACTTCTCACCTTAGTCCTTATTTGAAAGACTGATCAACAATGGGCAATGGGCAATGTTCTGAATCCATTTTCTTGTCCACTACACTTCTGCAAGAAAACTAAGAAACCGATGCCAATCCAAACCATGTTCAAGCTTCCTTCTCCATTGCCCACGTGGCCACCCGGTACTTCTCTCTCACCACTTTCATCTGTTGGATTGATTACCTGGTCTACAAATATTAGTACTCATACATCCATCAAAGTGTTGGCACGGCCTTGTATTCTTTTTAAAGTGATATTCACATTTATCAACACTCTCATTAGAAGAATATACGTCTTACCCAACCTTATTTCCTTGTACTTCTCACCTTAGTCTTTATTTGAAAGACTGATCAACAATGGGCAATGGGCAATGTTCTGAATCCAATTTCTTGTCCACTAAACTTCTGCAAGAAAACTAAGAAACCGATGCCAATCCAAACCATGTTCAAGCTTCCTTATCCATTGCCCACGTGGCCACCCGGTACTTCTCTCTCACCACTTTCATCTGTTGGATTGATTACCTGGTCTACAAATATTTGTACTCAGAATATATATATATATATATGTATACAAATGTTCAGAAATAGATTGATCAGATTCATTCTGAACAAATTTCTACATATTTTTTTCTTGAATACACAGCATTTCTGCAAATAAAACAATCCGTTTTTTGTTTCAATCGTAGGTGAAAGTTTTGCAAGAGGAACCATTGATCTAGGAGGAATAGAAGTGTGTGAAATATCATCTTTCACCAAAGTTTGGGCAACCCATGAAGGCGGACCGGACAATCTTGGTGCCACATTTTTTGAGCCATCCCCAATACCTGATGGATTCTTCATGCTTGGTTGCTATGGCCAACCCAACAACGCACCACTTTTTGGATGGGTTCTGGCTGCAAAGGATGTCACAAATGACCCATCCGGTGAAATTCTAAAGCAACCAATTGACTACACTCTTTATTGGAGTAGTGAGTCTCTGAAAATTAAGCAAGATGGTAATGGCTATATATGGCTACCAACACCACCTGATGGATACAAAGCTATCGGTCATGTTGTCACTAGTTCACCTGAGAAACCTTCCCTTGACAAAATCCGGTGTGTTCGCGCTGATTTCACTGATGTATGTGAGAATGACTCATGGATTTGGGGACAAGATAACCAAAATTTCGATGCATATGGTCTTAGACCAACTAGTAGAGGGATTCAAGATCTAGGTGTCCCTACTGGCACATTTATAGCTCAAAATGGTGGTGGGGCATCACCTTCTCTATCCTGTTTGAAGAATGTGAAAGCTAATTTGTGTTGCATGCCCATTCAAAGCCAAATTCAAGCATTGGTTCAAGCTTACTCTCCATGGATTTACCTTCATCCTGATGAACAATACCTTCCCTCCTCAGTGAGTTGGTATTTCAAACATGGTGCCCTGTTATACAAGAAAGGGGAAGAATCCAAACCTGTTTTGATTGAACCCACCGGCTCAAACCTCCCCCAAGGTGATTCAAATGATGGTTCCTATTGGCTTGACCTCCCAACAGATAAAGCAGCCAAAGAACAAGTCAAGAAAGGCAATTTACAAGATGCAGGAGTTTATTTACACATAAAACCCATGTTTGGAGCAACATTCACTGACATTGCCATATGGGTTTTCTATCCATTTAATGGGCCAGCCAGGGCTAAAGTTGAGTTCATTAATATTTCCTTAGGTAAAATAGGTGAACATGTTGGTGATTGGGAACACGTAACCCTAAGGGTAAGCAATTTTAATGGAGAGCTAAAAAGTGTGTATTTCTCAGAACACAATGGAGGTAGATGGGTTAGTGCACCAGAGCTTGAGTTCCAAGGTGGTAACAAACCAGTGACATATGCATCGTTGCACGGCCATGCTTTTTATTCAAAACCTGGACTTGTGCTTCAAGGGAGTGATGGAATAGGCATTAGGAATGACACTGCCAAGAGTAAAATGGTGATGAATACTGGGGAGAGGTTTTTGGAGGTGGCGGCAGAGTACTTGGGATCGGAAATTGTTGAACCACCATGGTTGAACTATGCTAGGGAATGGGGTCCCAAAATTGAGTATGATATTGAAGTTGAGATCAAGATGGTGGAGAAGTTGTTGCCTGGAAAGCTAAAAAAAATGTTTGACAAGTTCATTAGAAGTCTACCTAGTGAAGTGTTGGGTGAGGAAGGGCCTACTGGCCCCAAAATGAAAAATAATTGGAGCGGAGACGAAAATTAATTGAAGCTCCCTTCATCTCAAATTGTTAGTGGATTGTAATTTGAAATTTCTTTTAGTTTTAATTCCCTTCAATTTTTCACATTCTATCAATGTAATTCAATTGGTAACATTGTTAAAAAAAAGTAGGCAAAAATAATGATTCATTAAAAATAAATAAATAAATAATTTTAAATCAGATGATAATCTCTCAATTACTTTGAGGAGAATTTATGGATATTTTACCTTCAGTTCCAATCCAAAAACTAAACTGACGTTATCAAAATTGACATAATGTGAAAAATTTAAAGATAAAATTGATGAAATTAAAATTATAAAAATCAAATTGATACAAAAGACAAATTACAGAGACTACATGTATAATTTGCATAAAATAATGTCTTACAAATGATTATGAATATATTTAAAGGTGAGAAATAGTTGGCAATGTTGGAAATCAATATAATATTTTTTTCTTCTAAATTTGTGTGCACTTAATGTATTTTCCATTAAAAAGTTGAAACTCTCAAAATAGACTAACGTAGTAACACAAATACTGGAATACAAAAAACACAACAACAAAAAAAAGGACTATTTGGTATCGTTCTAGTCTTTTGTTTTTTTAAAATAAAAAATAAAAAATAAAAACTGCTTCAAAAATAAATAAATAAATTTTTTTTAACTGAAAACATAAAAAGAATTAAAAAAATCTCAGAAAGCTATTTTTAAATTAAAAAAAAAAATTCACAGAACCTTGCTAAATATTGAAACTTTGGCCATTACGAAATTTTTTGCCCTATTGTTTTCTTTTGATGGAGTATGCAGAAATTGGAGAAGTCCAAAAAGAAGAGAATGAGAGTGTGTTCTCAATAAAGAAGGCTTATGTGGTTTTTGTATAATGGAATTTGATGGAGAAGTTGGAACTCCAGAAAAATCGGATGGAGAATGGATGAGAAATACTAGGCTTCACTTCATTTTTCTTCCAAAGGGTTGATTGTTTGAGATTCAATTTTATACAGTTGTCCTGTAAAGCAGCCCTTGTCTTATGGACAACCAATTAAATAGTGATAACTCAATATAATTGCAGGCCTTTTGCCTACATATATAAACCCCCTCATCTAATCCCTTCCCTCCCTTTCTTTAATTCCCAATGGCCACTGACTACCACAGCCGCCTTTCTCACCCACCCTCTATCTCCATCTCTATACACCATTACTATCACAATCTCATCTCGCCCCTACAGGATAGTGAGATGATCGGTTAGAAATCGCTAATTACCAAGGGCCTAGCTTGACAAATCACAAAGGTCTAAGATGTGTATAGATATAGGGTTCAACAGTGAAATTTTATCATTAATCCATTAAGTCTATAGAGCAGTACATAAACAATATGAAACAACAATGGTAGAGGACCCTAATTTTTGTGGCTCAAATGGCTCGAATTTGCCAAAACGACGTCGTTTTGAGTACAAAACAACATTAAAATTGTCAAAACGACGTCGTTTTGGCAAATTTGAGCCATTTGAACCACAAAAATTAGGGCTCTCAAACATTTTTCAATATGAAATAAACATAGAGTCTTTATTGCTTACCTTTTATATAATCTACATTATGTACATAGAAAAAAGAAAAGTACAACATTCACATCATAGGTACAAAACCTTACTACAAAAACTTGTTCTCCAAAATGTCAAAAACATCAAAAGATAAAAAGGAAAAGGAAAAGGAAAGGGATAAGACTCTTCAAACGGGTCCAAGACCTCTATCAATGCTCCTCTTCCGGATCACCACATATATATAAGAATGGGCCAAGCTCAATGAATAATATTGTTAGATTTATTTATTTTGATGATTTATTTAATTATATTTTAATTTATTTGAAAGAGAAAAATAGAATCCAAAATTTATTTTGATGAACTATTTAATTATATTTTAATTTATTTGAAAAAGAAAAATAGAATCCAAAATTTATTTTGATGATTTATTTAATTATGTTTTAATTTATTTGAAAGAGAAAAATAGAATCAAAATTTATTTTGTCCTATTATTTCCCACCTAAACTTTTATCCTAAATATTGTTTGAATGTATTTAATATTTGCTTAAATCAGGAGTTCATTTCAACTCAAAAATAATGCACAAACCAGAGGTTCAAACAGCCTAGCACAGCAGCAGGCCAAAAGGTTCAAACAGCCCAGCACAGCAGCAGGCCAAAAGGTTCAAGTGGAATATATTCAAATTAGTAATGATAGAGTGAAAGATATTCAAATGAATACAACGGTTACAAATTCAAATGAATACAACGGCTATACGTTTCATTATATATACCAAAGCCTCTAATGTAAACAAGTTACAAAAAAAATCAGAAAATATTCTTTGATCTATAATCACTCACATCTATTCTCTGAAAATTCTCTGAGAAGTGTTCTTCAATTTTTGTTTACATCCTCTTTCAGAAATTATACACTAAAACGTATAGCTTTAAGCCCATCTTTCTTGTGTGAGGTTTATAGAAAAACCAGAGCTTCATTTTTATGTCTATCTTTGAGAGATAATTCTTGTAGCTTTCTGTGAAAGCAAAAATACATTTTTTTCAACCTTGTAAGAGTGTAGTACACTCAGTATTCTTGACTTAGAAAGTCTGTGTAAAATTCGTAGAGGATTGCATCATCTGTGAAAAGGTTGCTAGCACCCTGTGAAGCTAGAGAATAGTGAAAAATCTCAAGTGAAGCTTGAGGAGTGGACGTAGTCTGAGTTGAAGTTGAACCACTATAAATTTGTTTGCCTCTCTCTCTCTCCCTTATCTCTTTATTTTATTTAAACTGCCATAACTATATTTCATATTTTTGTTATGCTAAAATCTTTAATTGACATAGTTGTTAGAACACTTATTTTAATTATTTTTATTTCATCAACTATATTATCTGTTGTGCTAGTCATAATTTTTATTAAGGTATTATTATTTTTATTTGTAAAAACCTAATTCATCATCACCCTTCTTAAGTTGTCTTTTGGATAACAATTGATATCAGAGCCTAGACTCTTGTTTTAGATTTAACTACCTGGGAGTTTCGATCCATGGCAATCTTAGCTGAAGGACAAGCCACAAATAAGCTACTATTGTTTGACGGAAACAACTATAGTCATTGGAATGATAAGATGACTCCATACCTACAAGTCACTGATTATGCCATATGGATTATTGTCACCAAAGGTCCAAAAATTCTTACCAAATTAGTAAACAATATTAGTGTACCTAAAACAGAAGATGAATGTGATGAGAGAGATCACAAATTATTGCAAGTCAATGCTAAAGCCAAACTCACCATTGTTTGTGGATTAGACTCTAATGAGTATAATAGAATTTCAAGTTGTGATTCGGCAAAAGAAATTTGGGACAAACTTGAGGTAACATATGGAGGTACAAACGAAGTGAAGGAATCTTGTATTGATATGCTTATTCATAGTTATGAACTGTTTAAAATGAACTTTGATGAATCTATTTCAAGTATGTTTACTAGATTTACTGAAATTGTAAACTCTTTGAAATCTCTTGGCAAAATTTATACTAACAGTGAGTTAGTGAGAAAAATTCTTAGGTGTTTACCAAAGAATTAGGAAGCAAAGGTCACCGCCATTATAGAAGCCAAAAATCTCTCCACACTTGGATTGGATGAACTTATGGGTTTTCTTATGACTCATGAGATCACCATAAATGGACATGAAGATGTTGAAAACAAAAAGAAAAGTGAAATTGCATTCAAAGCCTTACCAAATGAAGAAGAACATGAAAACTCCAGTGAGGATAAAAGTTATGCCATGGTTAGTAGAAACTTCAAAAAGCACTTTAAGAAAAACAATTATGGAGGAAGAAGACCTATCAAGAAAAAGTACAACAAAGATAACAAGAAAGAGCCTATTATTTGCTATGAGTGCAAAAATCCTGGATATATGAAGATGGATTGTCCAAAATTAAAGAATCATGGAAAAGACTACAAAAGAAACAAAAAGACCATGGTAGCAGCTTGGGGAGAAAGTGAAGATGAAAGCTCAAGTGATGAAATTGAAAATGAAGTAGCCAACTTATATCTCATGACTCTTGAAGATGAAGACTCTACTCAAGATGAGGTAACTACTCATTATGAAGAACTTGAAAGTGCATTCCATGAACTACAAGATGAATTTAGAAAAGTTTGTACCAAAAATAATGTGTTGAAGAAATATGTTGCATCTTTATCTATTAATGTAGAAGAATTAAAAAAAGAAAAAATTGTTTTAAGAAATTATTTTGATATTATCTCTAATGAGAAATCTACTTTAAAAACAATGTTGATGATTTAACAAAAACACTTGAAAATTTTGTAAAAAGTAGAGATAATCTCAACATGCTTCTTAGAAATCAAATATGTGTTTTTGATAAAGTAGATATTGGATATGACCCTATTAAGAAACAAAAGAATCTCAATACAATTTTTGAAAAGGCACCTCTCATGACACACCCTCATATTACTTGTCATTATTGTAAAAAGAAAGGCCATTATATATCTTCTTGTCCATTAAAAAATAATATAAACATGAGAATTAAAAAGATTTGGATTGTTAAGAGATTTAACAAAACTAACCAAGAAGGACCCAAGAAACTATGAGTACCAAAATCCAACACTTGATTGTCATCTTGTAGGTTTGCTTTAAGTCCAAAGCTAAAGAAGGGAAGTAGTACCTTGATAGTGGATGTTTCAGGCACATAACCGGAGATAAATCCTTCTTTACTACACTGTCATCCAAAGATGGAGGCTTTGTTACTTTTGGAGACAACAAGAAAGAAAAAATCATCGGTATTAGTAGCATCGGTATTTTGTCTAACCCTTCTATTGAAAATGTTTTACTTGATGATGGACTTAAGCATAACCTACTACTTAGTATTAGTCAATTATGTGATAAATGTAATCGAGTTTTTTTTTGATAAATCACATTGTACAATTGAAAGCACAAATGATCATAAAGCTTTATTCGTTGGTAATCGCCATGATAATGTTTATGTTGTTCATCTTAATGATCTCTATGCTAATGATGTTAAATGTTTATTTGTTAATAATGAAAATAGTTGGATATGGCATAAAAGACTTAGTCATGCTCATATGGATTTAATTGCTAAACT